CTGGGGGGTTTGGGGGGACACGGGGGGACAGGACCCACCTTGGCCATGATGCCAGCGTACGCCATGTACAAATGATCCTTCTCCAACTTACTGCGGGACGGGGAGGCACGGCTCAGAGGGGGGCACCGGGACCCCCCCACGGGGGCACCCAGGCGTGCGGGTGGGGTGCCCCCCACCCTCGCCCTGGGGGGACCCAGGCGTCCGGGTGCCCCCTCCCCACCTCTTCTCCGTCAGCGCCGTCCGGCTGAAGTGCAGGATGAGCTGGTGCAGGGGGTCTGGCTTCTTGTCCTGCTCCTCTTCCTCCTCCTCCTCTTCCTCCCCCGATTTCTGCCTCAGCCACCACCGCAGGGCTCAGCCGGGGGTCCCGAGGCAGAGACCCCCCCCGGCCCGGGCGGCCCCCGCTCACCGAGAGGTCGTTGATCATGCGGTCTTCGAAGGGATGCTCCTCGGGCACCAGCCAGGAGAGCTTGTACGCCTCCAGGAACATGTTACAGGCCCGGTGCCTGCGGGACGGGGGGATGGTGACGGGGGTCCCGGTGCTGGGGGGAGGGGGCTGGGGGCCCACCCAGGAGGCACCCCCTTGTCCCCAGGGGCTCCCACAGGCTCTCGAGGGGTTCCCAGTTACCCGCAGTTGTCCCCAGGTGTTCCCAGAGGCTCCCGAGGGGTTCCCAGTTACTCCCAGTTGCCCCCAACAGGGTTCTTGGTTGCCCTCAGTGGTTCCCAGTTACCCGCAGTTGTCCCCAGGGGCCCCCAGAGGCTCTCAAAGGATTCCCAGTTACTCCCAGTTGCCCCCAGCATGGTTCTTGGTTGCCCTCAGGGGTTCCCAGCTGCCTCCAGCAGCTCCCAGTTGCCCCCAGGAGCTCCCCAGTTGCCTCCACAAGGGTCTGGGATATTCCCAGTTGCCCCTAAGGGATTACTGGTTGCCCCCACGGGCTTTCCAGTTGCCCCAGGGGTTCCCATGGCATTCCCCGTTGCCCCCACAGGCTCCCCCAGTGGTCCCAGTCACCCCCAGGAGGTCTCAGGGGGTTCAGACCACCCCCCCGGCAGCTCCCAGTCCCTCCCAGTGCCCACCTGGGCAGGTTGTAGAGGGGCGTCATGCGGAAGCAGGCGACCACGGCGCGGCGGCGCTGCTTGGAGAGCAGCTTGTGCCACACCGCCTTCTTGGACTTGTAGGGGTGCTCCGTCTGGGGGGGCGTCACCTCAGCACCCCCGGAGCGTCCCAGGCACCCCCGGAGCATCCCGGGGGCCCCCCCGGCCCCCCCAGCGCATCC